GGCAAAGTAATGTCTCTGCTTTTAAATATGCTGTCTGGGTTGGTCATAGCTTTTCTTCCAAGGAGCAAGCATCTTTTAATTTCGTGGCGGCAGTCACCATCTACAGTTATTTTGGAGCCCAAGAAAATGAAGTCTGTCACTGTTTCCACTGTTTCCCCATCTATTTGCCGTGAAATGATGGGACTAGATGCCATGATGTTAGTTTTCTGAATGTTGAGTGTCAAGCCAACATTTTCACTTTCATCAAGACACTCTTTAGTTCTTCTTCACTTTCTGCCATAAGGGTGGTGTCATCTGCCTATCTGAGGTTATTGATATTTCTCCCAGAAATCTTGATTCCAGCTTGTGCTTCATCCAGCCTGGCATTTTGCATGATGAACTCTGCATACGAGTTAAATAAGCAGGATGACAATATACAGCCTTGATGTACTCCTTTCCCAATTTGGAACCAGTCTCTTTTTCCATGTCCAGTTATAACTGTTTCTTCTTGGCCCGCATACAGATTTCTTAGGAGGCAGGTCAGGTGGTCTAGTATTCCCATCTCTTTCAGCATTTTCCACGGTTTGTTGTGATCCACAAAGTCAAAGGCTTTGGCATAGTAAATAAAATAGAAGTAGATGTTTTTCTGGAACTCTTGCTTTTTTGATGATGCAGCAGATGTTGGCAATTTGATCTCTGGTTCCTCTGCCTTTTCTAAATCCAACTTGAACATCTGGAAGTTCATGGTTCACGTACAGTTGAAGCCTGGCTTGGAGAATTTTGAGTATTACTTTGCTAGCATGTGAGATGAGTGCAATTTTGCAGTAGTTTGAGCATTCTTTGGCATTGCCTTGTTTAGGATTGGAGTGAAGACTGACTTTTCCAGTCCTGTGGCCACTGTTGTGTTTTCCAAATTTGCTGGCATATTGAGTGCAACACTTTCACAGCATCATCTTTTAGAATTTGAAATAGCTCAGCTGGAATTCTATCATCTCCACTAGCTTTGTTTGTTGTGATGCTTCCAACGGCTCACTTGACTTCACATTCCTGGATGTCTGGCTCTAGGTGAGTGATCACACCATCATGATTATCTGAGTCATGAATATCTTTTTTGTATAGTTCCTCTGTGTATTCTTGCCACCTCTTCTTAATATCTCCTGCTTCTGTTAGGTCCATAGCATTTTTGTCCTTTATTGTGCCCATTTTGCATGAAAAATTCCCTTGGTATCTCTAATTTTCTTGAAGAGATCTCTCATCTTTCCCAATTCTATTGTTTTCCTCTGTTTCTTTGCATTGATCATTTAGGAAGGCTTTCTTATCTCTCCTTGCTCTTCTTTGGAACTCTCCATTCACATGGGAATATCATTCCTTTTACCCAGCCCATAGAAAACTCACCATGGCCACACTTCATGCCACACCCTGTGGAGTGTGCTTCTCTCTGAATCCACACAAATCTACCTCTTACTTATTGCTTTGTCTCTCACTGAATTCTTTTTATGCAACGAGACATCAAGAACCTGAGCTTCATTAGGTCCTGAAACCAGGCACTGTGTGTTTTTTCCAGGCTCAAGTCCTGGTCAGACATGACTGAATGACTAAGCACAGCACAGAGTCCCTGCCACGTGGGTTTGAGTCCCAGTATTAGGTAAACAGTTTCAAGCACACCTTCCAGAAATGGAAAGATGATGACCAGCCGGATACTTTGTAAACAGTGGCATAGATGGAGAGAGGAACTGAAGGATGGGAGGAAAAAGCAGTGGGAAGAACATGCCAAGGAACTCCCCTCATAACCTATCAGAAAAACTGTTAAATGCATAACCTGTGCCCACAGTTTTCATTGGCCTGATCCCTGGCAGAAAGAAGATTAAGGACGAAGAACCCTCAGCCACTTGGGCAACAGCTACTAAGGCACCGAAGACAGTGGCGCCTTCAGCATGCGCCGGGGAGTAGCCCCTGCCCGAGTCCCTCAGTTGCACCTACTGCTGCTCGCCTGTTCACAGGGGGGTCGAGGAAACAAGAAACAAGAAATGGTAAAGGAATTAAACTTTTTAGCCATTTGTCCTTCCAGCCATAGGGGTGAGGACCTCCTGCATAAACTGGAGGGCTTCTGGAGTCTGAGACAGCTATGAGAGCTTTCTGCCGAGTTTGTTTTTGCTGTCCTGGTTTCCAGCACGCTGGGCTTCTCCTCACTTTCATTGCGCTGGGTTTCCTTTGCCTTAAGCTTCTAGAGCATGAGCTTTCACCAAGCTGCGCTTCTGTTGCGCTTGGTTTCCGCCTCACTGGGGCTGAGCTGAAGTTGTTTCAGCCAGGTTAAACCCAAGTAATGGCACCAGACATGTCAAGGGGCTGTGTAATTTCCTCTGTTCTGTCTCACCACAGCAAAGATTTGAAACAGCAGACGAGTGTTACAGCTCAGTTTTATTTGGCAAGGCATGAGGGTGGACTGACCCAAAAACAGAAGGGGGCTCAGTCTTTCTCCTCTTTTTATACGCTTTGGTTCCTCCCCCCTGAGCCTGCCCTGTGCGATTGGGCTGCCCAGGAGGGCTCTTTTTTTCACCTGAGGTTCTCACTCTGGTCCTCGGATTTTCTTTTGTTCCATTTTTGCAGGCTTTTTTCCTTTGTTTTAGCCACCTCCATTTTGGACTCCTTTTTCCTATTCTAACTACCTAACATAATGAATCTATATCTGGCAGGGAAAGAAGTATCTTCTTTGGTTTTTTTTCTTTAAGAAAATCTTAACTCATCTTGGATCTTCTGCATACATATTAAAAGCTTTTTGTCAATGTCAAGAACTGTGTGAGTTCTGGGATAGCAACATGCTTTCAAGCTAATAAGTTAGCTTACCACTGTTTCATAAATGCTAGCAGAAGACATGAACTCCTGAATCAGAGTTAGAAGACTTTACTTAGAGCACAGCAAGCAGCATGAGCTTCATATTCACATCTGTTCTCCTGTCTCCTAGTCCCTGGGGGCAATGTGGATGGGCTCAGGCATTCAGATGAATGCCTGAGTATGCACTGGATGCATTATGGAAGAGGATCCCTAAGCTTAGAAGGCCTGAATCTGTTATACTACTCAGTAAATATGAATGCTCTTTGCTCCAGAAGGGGACATTATACTTTCCATTGCTGTTTATTATACAAATACCCCCTGAAAAGTTAGTCTGGAAATAAAACAGTCAGTGTCTCATATTTATCTACAGTTTTCCCCCTTTTCATTCATAACATTGTTAGTTTTTACCTTACCTCTCTTGCCATGGATTAACCTTTCTAGAGGTTGGTTAGTTTGATTAGTCTTTTCAAAGGTCAGCATTTCATTTTGTTTTTCCTCTGTTTTATGTTTGTTTCTATTTTCTTATTTTCTATGTTATTTTGCCCTTCCAACTTTTGGGGATTTATTTATTTTTAATTCCAGTATCTAATTTTTTTTATTATACTCTCCTCTTCAACTCTTGAATTACCAGAATTGTGTTTAAAATTTGCAAACAGAGATAATTATTTTTAGCTCTTATTTTATTTTTAATTAGCTATCAGCAGCAGCAAATAATTCCAGATCTCACAGGGCTTAACACAATACAAGTTTGTTTCTTGTTCATTTGAAGTCCAATAAAAATGTTTCCTTATAAGACATGGAGAATAAGCTTCTTCCCTTTTATATTGCCAGCTTTCTCAATGTGCAGCTCCATATGTTTTTGAAGAAGAGGAAGCAGGGCTGTGGAATTGCACAGGATATTTGTGTGTTCAGGCCTGACAGTACAGGCAATGCTTTTAAATATTATATATATATATATATATATATATATATATACACACACACACACACACACACACACACACACACACACACACACACTCTTAATTATTTGGCTGTGCTGGGTCTTAGTTGTGCCATGTGGGAATACTCTTAGTTGCGACAGGTGGTATCTAGCTCCTTGACCAGGGATCAAATCCAGGCCCCCTGCATTGGGAGCAAGGGGTCTTAGCCTCTGGACCACCAGGGAAGTCCTCATGCAGCACTTTTGCTCACATTCTGTAAGACAGAGCCAAGCCTTCTAAATTTACCAGAGGCTGGAAATGACATCTAACTGTTATGTCTGAGATAGATAGAAAAATCAGAATCCCTGCCATAATTTTTTAATGTAGTTATATTATGATTAAAAAAAAGTGTTCTGTATGATATCTTTAGAAAATTTGACATACAGTTAATTTTTGTAAATGTTCTGTGTATATTTAAAAATAATGTATATTTTCCAATTAGTGAACACAGGCTTCTATATACATTAATGAAATCAAATTTGTTAATTTTATTGTTCAAATTATTTACATTCTTATTGGTCTTTTTTTGTTTGTTTGTTTGTTTTTGCTTTGAAATTTATAAACAAATTTTATTTAAGATCTGAAATACGATTCCTAAAATATCAACCTCTCCGGAAAACCATGGCTACACAATAATGCATTGCCTCTATCATGTTAGAATGTGCATTAGACTCAAATACAAAAACCATGAAACAAACCACCATCCTTCAACAACTTGAGCAAAGATAGAATGAATGCCTAAGGAACAACATAGATGGACTTGCAGAGGATGGGCTGTTTTACTTCAAGCACCATAAAAAAAAAAGCACAAATGCATGGGTTTTTTGGGTATATACATTAAGTTGAACCTTTGGCACTAGGAATCAGGGCATTTTTCACGTAGCATTAACACATATTAGAAAATCGTGTAGTGTCAAAGGGATAGAACCACCAGCATTCAAGCAATGTTGTCAACTAGGCAATAAAATGTTCTACTGAATGTTTCTTCTTTGTCTAATTACTGCATACACTGGTAGCAACTTTGAAATGAGAAAAGGAGCTTACACTCCTTTTATTTTCTGTTTAGAAGAAAACAGAAAACAAACTGAAACATTAGCCTTGTTATACATTAACGATTTTAAAGAGTATCAATTATAAAAGAAAAAGACTAAGAACAAAAAGAGTGTTTACAGATACCAGACGTAACAGTGAGTGGTCAGTAGACCCTCACAGGGCTTTGCGGTGGTACTCAGCAGAAGCCACTTTATAATCACTGGCAGTGAACAGAGACGCAGCATTTTTTGCCAGGTATTTCAGGAAATCATGCAAATAGCCCAACAATAATGCAAAGCTCTTCTCATCAAGGGGTGTGTATGCCAACATTGCCCCAATTCTTACAAATAATCTCAGGAGGTGTGGTGCCCCATAAACCTGGGTCATTGGCGCATCAGGGTGAGCCAAGAGAATTTCAGCATACTGGGGCCTCTCAAATTTGTAGAGCAGCTGGGTGCCCAACATCACGTTGAAATACTCTTTTATCCCTCCCACCACCTCATTAACTGCATACTCCTTGTTGTCAACATTGCCTTGTGATCTTTTGCAGTTGGCGTATTCTTCCAAAATAGTATCCACATTTTTCTTGGCTGGGAGTTGGAAAAGTTGCTTCTGCCTGGTGACTAAGTCCCAGTCCTCAACAAGCCATGGTTTTAATTCTTCTGGAATCTTCACCTTAACTTCCATTCTATTCTTAAAAGCATCCTCACTTTCAACTGTGGGGTCTGCCCGGGCCCTTTTCTTCCGAGGTGGCTGGGATGCTTCACTGGTGCTGCCACCATCTCCGTTCCCAGGGGTCTTCTGTTTGTTCTTTCTGGTCTTCGTCACTGATCCTGATGGAGGGTTCTCAGCAGAGTGACCCCCTCATCTGCCTGGGAGTGCTGTTCCAGATTCTTCTGCTGGGGACCAGCTGTCTTCTTTCCAGATGTCCCTCTCATTTTACTTCTTTGCATGTTGCTTCTAGTTGGTTTTTTGAAATTGTCTTCTTCGGCAGATTGGTGTCCACGAGTTTGAGAACCCTGCTTTCTGGAACTCATTCAACCCTGTTTTTATTCCAACCAGCAATCCTCTTCTTTCCCTGCCAAGAACTCCTAGTGTTTTCCCAGATGGAATCTTATAGATCTTCTGGGATGGTCGTGGAGATGAGGTGAGAGACACAACCTTTCTAGAGTGTTAGGATAAGTCAGAAGTTATAATTTCAGAATTCAGTTCTAGTAGTAACCACTGCTTCCAAGATTCTGTAATGAGGGATGTTCTGCAATCAGGATCAGAGCTGATCCTCACTACACGCAAACTTAGTTTTTCTGATGGTAGTCTGAAACGAGGATCCAGTTCTTTCCAACAGACGACGTGTGATCACTGCCGTCTCTCCAACCGCCACAGTAAAGCCAGGTTTCTCTGGTCTTTTTTTTTTTTTTTAACTTTTTTCCACTTTATTTTTTTATTGAAATATATTTGACTTATAACATTGTGTAGGTTAAAGGTGTACAATATGTTAATTTGATTCATTTATATAATTTGATTGTCATTGTAGTGATACTAGCACCTTTATTATGTCACATATTATTACTTCTTTTTTGTGATAGGAATATTTAAGATCTAGTGTCTTAGCAAGTTTGGTATTTATAATACAGTATTGTTGTCTAAATTCAGTATACTATGCATTAGATCTATAGGACTTATTTATCTACTGGTTGCAATCTTATTGGCTTTCTTATCTACTTTGAGTATTAGTGACCAAGAGATACGAGTTAGAAATTTCCCACAATGTTGATGGGCATGTCACTTTCTCTTTATAGTTATTTTGAGGATATGATAGTAAACAGTGTAAGTTTACAAATGTGGTATCCTTTTGATTATGTCCTTTTATTTTTATAGAGTTGCCTTCTTTATTGGTGATATTTTTTCTTTAAAGAATACTTTGTCTGATATTTATTATAGCTATAGTACTTTCTTTTGGTTAAATTTTCCTGGTTCTGAAATTCTGACTATATGTTTTGGACTTTATTCTCCTTCTGTCTTCAATTAATTAAAAAAATTTTTTTACCTTTTTATCTTGATTGCTTTATTCTATGTAATTTCTCATTTTACATAAAAATCTTCCATTTTATTGGCTCCTCCATTGTAACTATCTGCTGTTTAACATTGAATATTTACTTTTAATTATCATATTTTTTATTTCTGGGAGATCACCTCCTCTAATTCTGCCTAAATCTCTTGCTGATTAGTCATATTTTTAACCTCCCTCCCCCATCTTAAAACTTCTTGAGCCACCAAGGAAGCCCATCTTTAAATGTATAAATATACTTAATTTATTTTCTAATATATTCCTTGTATTTGTACATTTTTAATATCCAGGTTCCTGTTTTTTATAACTTATGTGACACTTGTTTATGGTGCCTTAGTTTCTCATGTGTCTTGTTATGTTTCTTTTAACATGAACTTCTATTTACAATAAACCACACCTTTTGAACTGTTAAAATTCATTCGTCCAAGAACAATTTGTGTTGCTTTCCGCCATAGGTATGAAGACATTTCAGACCTGGATCCAGTTTAAATTGGTCCAGAAATGAAATTTTTTAGCTTATGATATTCTTTACCAGGTAAACAGTGTAAATTTTGATCCTAAACCCATCTCTGAACCTTCCAGTAGCTACAGATTCTCAAGAGTCTTCACCCCCCCCACCCCCTCAACCCCTGGCTCTCCTGGACAGTTTTCTTTCCTGCCTAACTCTGTGAATGGCTATCCATTCACTTGTTTCTTGTGAACCCTTCCTTGCGGATGGCTTTTCCTGAGCATGACTCTCAGACTGGACGGTTATCAGTGGAGCTCCCTGCTCTGGGCAGATGCACAGCTCTAGGTGACCTGTGTATATAGGTTCTCCCCGGGCACCCAGCTGCCCATTCTCACCTCCTTCCCTACACTCACACTCCTGCTCTCCTGACAGCCTCTGCCATCCGTTTAGAAAGGGTCGTTAGTATTTTATCTAGCAACTTTTCAGTTAATTTAGAGAATTATGAATGAATTTCTCTTTTATTTTTTCAAGTAGCATTTGAATGTGGTATAAAAATGGTACAGATATTTGTGAGAGACATGGTTGTCTTGTCATTTTCTATTCTCTTTACAATGCCGGAGGCCTCAGTGAATTGGTATCATTTAAAATGACACCATCAGTGCTCAGAATTGGTGAATTCTGAATGGCATATAGATTAGAGTTACTGTTCATATGAGGCCTGTGAAAACCCAGTCCTCACTCTCCCACTAAGTGATTTTGTGAACTTCTCTGGTGTTAAGCCACCTTTGAGACTTGATTATTTTCCTCATTTCTATGATCCATTGGTTTATCCAGTATATACTCTCAAGTGAGTTACAGAAAAATAGGTTATGTGGGCGATCTTGATCTCTGTGACCCCCAGTGTTGCCTGCAGCAACGTGAATTCCTTGCCAAACACTGAGCTCCTAGTAGATAGTCCTTCTTTGTACCTCAGTGCCAATCATAATTCTCCATGTGCAGTGTGCTGTGGAAGAGGTTAACAAGTGTGATCTGGATGATCTTCCAACAGCCCTTCTATCTCTAAAACGACTTTTCCTCTCTGGGTACTTGCTTAGTGAATACGTATATGGTATCCAAGAGAGAAGGCAGGTAGGTTTTTCGTCGAGTTGTTTTGAATTGAAATCTCCAAAAGGAGTTGCATGTTTTTGTGAATGAGGAAAGTCTCAAGAATTTTGTGCTAAGTGACCTGTTAGAGCCAGTAATGCCATTCTAGGATTTGAATGAGCCAAGGCCTTTGATGGCTCCTTGGACCATATTTTCTTATAACTAGTTTCATTGTGCTTCTTCATCTCCTCACTTTTGTGTGGCTTCATGTCCTTTCCTTTTTTTAAAAAAAAATTTAATAGTTGTATGCCTTTGCTTCACTTTGTTTTCAATTCCTCTTTTCTCTGGTATTCTGAACAGTTTGAAATAAGAGTCTGGATTTCATTTCCCATGGGCTCATACCCTGCTAAAACCTATTAAAATCAGTGATTGATTTTGCTTATACATGAAAGCATGGATCCCAACATGCTCTGCTTCTGTTTCTAGCATGATTCTGAGTCATGCTTTAAGAATAATATTTAGCACTTAGCAACCCAGAGTTTAGTTTGTCCCTGAAATCACATTGTTTGGTTTGGGATGTAGTGTGTTTTTGAAACAATGGATTCCTGTCTCCACTCCAGACTTAGCAAATCTGAACCTCCATGAGTGTGTGAGTAGAAGTCAGAGAATGCAGTTTTGTACTTTTAGTTCTGGGAACTGCTTCTCTGGAAACAGCTGAGAGAGCATGTTGTTTGGCTATAAAAATGGAGGTAGAGTTGAAGACTTCACAGAAGAGCTTTAAAAAAAAAGAAAAATATTGTCTTTGAAGGATGAATCAAGTATTTGCCTGATGAGGAAGACTAGAGAAGGATATTTTAGACAGAACTGCCTGTGTCGAGGCACAAGAGTGAGACTCCATGTTATGTCTTTGAGAGCTGTGAATGGCCTACTGTGACTTAGATTGATGCCAGTATAGGATGTAGAAATAACAGAAGGAGGATCAGGAAAGTAGATTAGGACTAAATTGTGGAAAGTTTTGATTGGTAAAGAATTGCTTTTTATTTCATGGGAAATAAAAGCCATCAAAGGATTCATAAATATGGCAGTAATGTGGCAAGATTTTTATTTTACATTATAACCATGGCAGCAATGTGGAGGATGAATTCAAGGGAAAAGAAACTGGAGACAATGAATCCAATTGAAGATTTAATTAGAGTATCTCAGAATGATTATAAGACAGTAGTTGGGGAAATGAAGAAAAAGGGCATAGATTTAGAATCATTCATTTACTCAATAAATATCTGCTGGACTATTTTGTATATGCTAGCTGTGAGCTCTGTGCTAGGCTGGTAGGGAAAAAACAAACCATGAATGTTCTAAGACAAGTAAAAAATATGTAATGTGTGTTTTTGTGTGTATGCATGTATATGTATATGAAAAAAATAAAATTATTAAAAAAATAATGGTATCCTCTGTGGAAGAAATAAAAATAATTTTACTTTCTTAGACATTCTTGAATTTTCTGAAGTGTCTGAAGTATCAGTGTATCACATTGAAAAACTTCTAATTTTAAAAATTAAAAAGTTTTCTAATTTTATGTTTGCCTCCCAAAACCCTAGTGGAGAAGATAATCATGTGAACAGCCAAAGTAGCAATACAGCAGTTATAATAAGAGGTATGTTAAAAAAACAAAAAGGCGAGCAGCAGTACCTAAACATGCTTTCAAGAGACAAGGCATATCTTCATGAAGGAAGCAGCATTTCAAACGAAGCTTATAGGGCTTGTGGGAGTCCCAGAGAAGTGATACTCCAAACAAAGGAAACTCAAATTAACTAGAAAATCAATCTGCGTGGACAGGCAGATTCTGAAGTCTTACATTGTTTGTGAAAGTGTTTAGAATTTATCTTATAATCTATTATGAAAATGCAAGCAGAAAGAAGACAGCAAATATTCACACCATGAAGGCCATTCTGCAGCAGTACAGAAGTTAGATTGAGGTGATGTGGAGTGAAATTAGAAACAGGCAGAAAGATCAATAAAGAGGCACTTGTGATAGTTTAGGTGAGAATTAGCAGGCATTAGTGATTTGGTCTGGAGAAGGCAATGGCA